AAATGAAATTGTTCTCATTTTTTATATATTAATTATTTGATTATATACTTTTAATATCAATTTACTAATAAAAGTAAACTTTTACGAGTTTATGATTTGAGTGTATATCGTTATCACGAATTTGTTTAAACTCGCGAGTTTAACAACCTTCGTCTATAACAAGGATACGAAACTGTGATTGGGAATAAGCATATTTTATATATTTTTATGAGTGTTTATATTTTCATACCAGGGAATCTCTCAAAATATCGATTTGTATGATGGTATGGACCAATTATTATTAAAACAACAAACCCGTTATTGCGTTTCTGTATAAAAGAATGTACACTGCTTATTGCCTGATTGATTTTAGTTTTTCTTTTTTTTGTCAAAAGACTGATTTTAGTTTATTTGAAATAATTTTACGTTATCAGACTAACGTACGAGAGGCATTATCTCGTAAGTGTAAAATCTTCTGATGATTAATATAATATCTATTTAACTAATTTGATTAGATTAAAAAAGTTAAATAAGTTAGTTAATTATAAAAAATATGACATATTTTTTCTAAAACACCATAATTATTTTTCTTAATATCCTTCCTCCCTCACTTACTTGATTATGGTTGAGGGGGGATTTATAGGAGTAATTTAGGAAAAAATAATAAATATGACAAAAAGACCTTATATTTAGGATTAAAATTAAATCAATAATTAGATCTTATATTAAAAATCGGAGGAGTACCTCTTTCTCGTATTCTCAATGGAAATTCACTTCTTCTTCTTCTTTTTTTAATTTAATACCTTTTTTTTTTGCCAAAATTTAATACCTATTGGAATTCCAAAAATGCCTTGTGAATGTAAGTTTCGGATGTGGAGCTGCATCTTAAATTGACTCATGGTGACACTTTTTAGATACTACCGCCGGTCCTAATTATAAGAGGCAATTGACTAATTTGAGAAGATTAAGGAAGTAAGTTGAGTTGATTATTTGTCTTAAATAGATATTGTCTTTCATAAAATATTCTTGCTAATTAAGTATATTGACTAGAACTATCATTGTTAGAATGACTACTTTGGAAAAAAAAATGTATAAATATGAGAGACAAAGTGGATTGGGGTCTTATATTTAGGATCAAAATAAAAGTCAAACAGGGTCTTATATTAAGGATCGGAGGTAGTATATTGTGACGACAACAACAACAAAAAAACTTGTTTGATGTACTGGATTGTATAAAATTTTTTGTTCTTTCCCCCTAAGATATCCTCTTTTTTACCTCAGAATGGTTAGCAAAAGTTTGTAGCTTAAAATATGTAATAAAATCTTTTTATTATAGGATATTCTTATTAATATTAAAAATCCTGCAATTTTATGCTTGGTTAAAAAATCATCAACTAAATTGAAGAAAAGAATTCGTAAAAAGGATAATACAAGTTCGGACTTGCGAAGTGCATTTGTTAAGAGAACTTTAACCATAACATTCTTAGTCTGACAAAGATTAGTCTCAGGTCCAAAGTGATTTGAGTATACTATGGCCCTATTTGGATGTCCTTCCAAACCATGGTTTGGGGTCAAATCATGGTTTTGAACCCCAAAACCATGGTTTCGACAGAAGTGGTTTGAAGTTGCTTCTGGCTCAAATTTTCCAGACATTGGTGTGGGCCCAACAGCATATGACAAAGCAGCCCCCATAATTGATGTCTCACTCTTCATTCCACACTCGGTTCTTCACTATTTAATCTTATAATTTATAAATATATATACACATATTAATTATTTATTAGTTATATTATCTTATATATTATTAATTATGTTAGTAAAAATTATTTTATTAACAATTTTATTTCTTCAAATCAAAATATATTATAAAATCTATCCCTTATATAATTATAATATTAATTTATGCCCTTTTTAGTAATTTGCACATATAAAAAGTGCTTCTGGTAACAACTATCCAAACACTCTCACTTCTCAGAATCACTTTTTCATAAAATCTATTCTCTCCAAAATCTATTTTCTAGAAGCTATTTTCCAAACCATGGTTTGGTTTTATCCAAACACACCCTAACAGTGCTAAAATTAAAGATTAGAAATGTGTAGAGACTCCACTAAATCACGTTAGCAAAAAATCTACTCCCGTCTTATATAACATATAGGTAATATTCTTTCAAATAGGTTGGTTTTATATATAAGCAACAATTTGTATTTGTCTAAAAATTTAATGATTTTTTTACCTCTAATTAATTATATGTTTCTCATCTCTTTTTCTACTTATTCTCGCATAAATAAGTACATATTTGGGGGGGGGACTCCAGAAGTTAAGCAACTAATTTGTTAAAAGAAAGAAAAGACAACTAATTTAATTTATAGATATTAATAAAGTTAGTTAATTTAGTTATTCATGATACTCCTTTGGTCACTAATATAGGATCCAATTATTGAGTTGGTTTTGGTTCTAAATATAAGACCCATTTCTCATATTTATTAATTTTCTCTAAATTACCCCTATGGATACTCCCTCAACCATAATCAAGTAGAAGAAGAAGAGGGGTATTAAGAAAGATGATTAAGGTGTTTTAGGAAAAACGTATCATATTTCTTATAATTAACTAACTTAGTTAACTTTCTTAATCTAATCAAATTGGTTAAATGGGTCTTATATTAAGGACCGAAGGAGTAAATACTACCTCCAGTCCTTAATATAAAACTCATTTGACTTTTATTTTAGTTTGAAATATAATACTCTAATCTACTTTGTCTTTTATATTTATCATTTTTTTTCAAAGTAATCTAATTCTAACCAATACACTTTATTAGCACAGATATTTTAAAAAATATATATATTTATTACAAATAACTAATTTAATTAGTTTTTTTAATTTACTTAAATTACTCAACTAGTTGTTACAGAGGTAGTGTGTCCTAATTATTCATGAACGTGGGTTTAACGGAAAGAGTCACTGCCTTGCAACATGGCGAACAAGGGTCAAGTGCTGGCGAGCAATGCACCTCTTATATATTAAATAATTTTAATCAACACTTTCGCCTACATGATTTGGGCTCTGTTTGGATAGCATCCCAAACCACCCAAACCATGGTTTGGGGAAAATGCTACCCAAACAGCCTCTCCAAAAACCAAAACCATGGTTTTGGGTCAAAACCATGGTTTTGACTCCAAAACCATGGTTTTGGAAAAAGCAAAATTTTTTTGCTTTTGGAGAAAAAAGGGAGAGTGTGAGAGCCTATATGATATGTATCTTATTATTTTTTTTATAAACATATTTTTTTATAAATATATTTAATCTTATATTTTATAAATATATATAGACATTAATTATTTATTAATTATATTATCTTATGTATTATTAATTATGTTGGTAAAAAACATATTATTAACAATTTTATTTCTTCAAATTAAAATATATCATAAAATCTATTTTTTCTGTAATTATCATATTAATTTATGTCTTTTTTTTAGTAATTTATATATATAAAAAGTGCTTCTGATAACAACTATCCAAACACTCTCACTTCTCAGAATCACTTTTTTACAAAATCTATTCTTCACAGAATCTATTTTTTCCAGAATCTATTCTCCAGAATCACTTTTTCAAACCACGGTTTGGTTTCATCCAAACACACCCTTGGGTTAGTTAGTAGAAGTTGCTATGCCAAGTCCAACGCGTACGTGAGAAGCAGACGACGACCACAACGATGGACATTCAAAGGCACGTGGTTGGATGTCTTGTCACCTAAGTACGATAGCTGGGTTATTGTTGAGAAATTAAAAGCTTTAGATAGCCAATTTGCACCACTAGGGAATGCGCCATTAACTACGGGCTTATCTTTTCATTCAATGCCGTCCCCCGTACTTCACAATGCTCCACTCTGAAAAGTGAGAAGGACGTGCCAAGAATCCCTCCAAATATCCTGGTATCGTTTCATCCATTCCACACACGACGCATTGACTTGGCTGGCTCGTGATTTGCCATTTCTTTTTATCATTTTTCGACGGAATTTTCATGGTCTTCTATAAAGACAACATTGTTCACCTAATTACCCTGTCTGCTATTGACTGACTTGTGAAGTGCTGAACCTTGTTGGTCGTTCTTTTGGTATGTGTCCTATTTAACTGAACTAGAACTTTGTGATCATTTACACTTTAGAGAGATTCTTCGGTACATTTTGGTATAAGAAGGGAAAAAAGAGTTATTCTGAGCACATCGATGGGTCCCACTAGAAAATGTGACGCACTTGTTTAGGTATCTTGACATGGCTAAGGGTGTGTTTGGATGAAACCAAACCGTGGTTTGAAAAAGTGATTCTAGAGAATAGATTCTGAGAAGAATAGATTTTATGAAAAAGTGATTTTGAGAAGTGAGAGTATTTGGATAGTTGTTATCAGAAGTACTTTTTATACATATAAATTACTAAAAAAAGACACAAGTTAATATGATAATTACAGAAAAAATAGATTTTATGATATATTTTAATTTGAAGGAATAAAATTGTTACTAATATATTTTTATTAACATAATTAATAATACATAAAATAATACAATTAATAAATAATTAATATGTATATATATTTATAAAATATAAGATTAAATATGTTTATAAAAAAAATAACAAGATACATATCTTATAGGCTCTCACACTCTCCCTTTTTTCTCCAAAAGCAAAAATTTTTTGCTTTTTCCAAAATCATAATTTTGACCCAAAACCATGATTTTGGTTTTTGGGTGATTGATTCCCCAAACCATGGTTTAGGATGTCACTCAAATGCCTTTTTAGTTTACTTGTAACCTTTTATGACTGGAGTATACTCTTTTTTTTTGGGTTACAGGTGACAAGATCTTAGAGTTTTACGATGGTCTATGGAGTCTAGAGCTGTTGGCTACTTGGCCTTTCTACTCATCACGGACACTCGGATCAAGATATTTAATTGTTGGCAGAGAAAAGAAGGGTCAAGATATTTAATGTTTTGTTCAGCATTTGTTGACTTCTAATATAGCAGTGTTTTCTTTTTGCTCGTTATTGACTTTTCCAACACTGGTGTGCCGGGTGGCCAGCGTGTTGGGTGTGAGGTTGATAACAAAAGAGTTCTGCTATTCAATTTAGAAATATTATCACAGTGGTGTGCTCGTGAATGCTGGTTTAACTTGATGATGGGTCGAACAATACTGGTATTCCTCCTACTTGTCTGCAATTACTCGCTGGTTGCAGTAGCAGAAACTGCTACAGAGGATTGTGAGTCCAACCTTAAGGCTTATATTCTATCTCTTTGATATTTTTCTTGAGATCTAAACGCAGTCTTCGGTATATAGTTAGTACCAGAAGCACTGGCCCTGCTTTTGTTGGTAGAAAGAATGTGGAAGACAAAAAATTTGTGTCCTGACGCTCTCAAATTATACATAGGTTTTGAGTTTTTCTTCCTGCAGTTCTTCAGTGGGATTTTTGTTACTGAAATGTTATTGTTGGGATATCTGGCAGTGACCGCTCTGAAGTCTCTTATGGATACATGGCAGAACACACCTCCCACCTGGGTGGGATCTGATCCTTGTAATGATTGGGATGAAATTAAGTGCAACGGTTCTCATGTTATTTCCATGTAGTGTCTCTCTCTAAGTGCTATGCTTTCTTGCTACCTTCTTCTGGACTTTACGTTTCAGGTATTAACATGCTTGCTAGTATTTCAGATCGCTATCCAGCACAGGTTTGGCAGGCCAGCTTTCTGGAGATATTGGATCACTATCTGAATTACAGACCTTGTAACTCTTTTACCTTTAGTATTACCTTCTAATATATATTCCACAGCTAAGTTTGTGAAACACTTGGCTTCTGCCTGTTATCTATCTTCTGTCCATTATCTTTAGGAAATGATCAGAGTTCTTTGGATCAACTAGTCTACACAACATGCATGTGGCAAATCTTTAGAAAAAGAGAGGAAGAATGCAGTGTAGGAAGAGGCATCCTCTTAAAAGCCAAAAAAAAAAAAAAAAGCTCAGATTAAAAAAAGAAGTAAATAGAAAATCTCATGCTCAAAAAAGCTCTCTAATCTCTTTGCGTATCATATGGAGAAAAACTATTGTCATGAACTTGAATAACTGAGCACAAAAATCACAAAAAGAGCAATCCTTTGACAAAGAAGATTAACAAGCAGAAACTACTCTCTGGAGATTTTTGCATTTTACATAACCAAGTGCACCTCATGCTAGTAAGAAGAGCGCAACTCTAAAACACCTCAGCGCTTCATTATCTTAGCCTTACTGGGAAACCGCATTACAATAACTGGTCTCTTTGTTCTTGGTTGTTCTTCTTTTAATAGGGATTTGTCGTACAACAAGGACTTGACAGGACCACTTCCTCAAGCCATTGGAAATTTGAAGAAGCTGTCAACACTGTAAGACAGTATTGACTGTTAAATTTAGTAATTTAAATCTGCATTAGTTTGATAAATGCTTCTAACAAAACAGTTGCTTTCTCCTTTATCTTCCAGAATTGTTGTTGGTTGTGGTTTCAATGGTCCTATCCCAGAAGAAATAGGAAATCTGCAGGAGCTCGTCTACCTGTAAGCAATTTTAACTCTGTTATTTTGTTAAGGTACACGCTTTTGGTATTTTCTGGATGAGACTCTCAAATAATAGTTGATTTGACTTGTGTTTTTGATTAAATTGCATCTCTCAAGTTTTGATATTAAAGAGGCGATTACATAAACATTCCTTTTATTTTTAAAATTCATATTGATTTCCTATATATGTCCCTCCTTTACAATTTTATCACAACATCTCCCCTGAGACAAGGTGTGAGTTGCACAAGCCTTTCTTGAATTTGTGGAAATTAGATAGACCCCTTCTCTGTTTTTAAAATTATACACAAACATTTCTTGAAAGTAAAAGGAAAAATTGTTTAATTTCAGACAAATTTAAGCAGCTCTGTGTAATTTATTTTTTTGTTCTTAGGGGAGATTCGTGCCGGATTTGACGGTACAAGGGATATCTGTAATTTTAGCAGAAGTCACTCCACGGAATTTACTATTTTTTAGCAGAAACTTTTGTAGGTTTCAAAAATTTAAGGATTGAAATATAAGGAGAATCCATGTAATTTGAACAAAACTCACGGGAGCTTTACTTTTTTTTCTATCTCTTCATTTTTCTACGTTCAAGATTCTGTATTGATATCTATGATTGTAGCCTAAATCAATTACTTTCAATTGCAGATCTTTAAATTCCAATAAGTTTGTTGGACAAATTCCAGCTTCTATTGGTAATCTGTCTAAACTATATTGGTTAGATTTAGCTGATAATCAGTTTGAAGGGCCCATCCCAGTATCTAGTGGCAGTAAGCCTGGTCTTGATCTGCTCCATCATGCAAAGCATTTGTACGTCAACTTATTCTGCCATAGTTGGCTTAGATTTACACTCACTATCCATCTAACATATTTCAATTTTTCCTTATTTACAGTCATTGTGGCAACAATAAGCTCTCTGGCCCCATTCCTCCTAAACTTTTTAGCTCGGAAATGACTTTGATTCACGTGTAAGAGCTAAGAACTGTCCTAATGATTTTTTACCTACTCATTTGTAATAGAGAAAATAGCATATATATAAATATGATGTTCCTACCCATATATTGAGAATGCCATGACATTGAAGATTGGCTTGAACTTGTTAACTAGACGTTCATGAGTCACTGTAATTTTCTTGCATAACATTACTTCCTTCTTTGTTATGGAAGTGGTAATGCCTCCAGTGAAAATTTAGATGAATGTTCTCCTGTTTGAAAATTTAAGAAGGGGAGGTAAGAGCAACTTATTGATTATTTTTTCCCTTTGCTTTTTGCACAATGGAGAGCCTCATCTTTCAATCTCACCTAGATAAAGCATCTAGTTTTACTTACGGTGTGTTTGGTTGAATTTGGAGAGAGTGGAAGGATTTTTCTTCCATCCCCTTGTTTGGTTAAAAATTAGAGGGGATCTATCCCACTCCAATAGTGCAGTAATCGTAAAATTCCCTCCCTTCCCCTTTCCTCTAAATTCTAATAAAACCAAATGGAAGAACATTGAAATCCCTTCTCTCCCTCCCATAAAATTCTCCCCGCTCCTCTTTGTTTAACCAGACAATATGTTAGTAAACTGTGATAGCTTTTCATTGAAGGAAAAAGAGAAAGTAGTGGAGAATGAAGACGTGCAAATAGGGAGAGCGAAAAGACCAATAAATCACAGGAGATACTTCTTACACTGCTATCTTAATTTCCGTGCTATCTTGGATGCTATGGCATAAGATACCATAATTTTTATAATTCTCATGTATGTTTGAGATGACAACTAAATTATCGAAAAACTTATACAAGAAATTTTTGAAAAGTTGACATGTTATAAGTTCATAATCATTGTGAACCCAGGATTTTTTCTGGTTGTGCTGCCAGCAAAATTTAGGCATTGTTTGCGTCCAAGCATTTTATATACCAATATCAAACACAAGTATATTAGATACCTAGATGAAGGCAGCATCACACTAAACACTTCCATAATGGTAAAATTAATTAACTTTTTAAGGATTTCTTCTTTGTCTTGCCATTCCAAGTTAAAATAATATGCGTTTTTGCCTTGATATCTTTTCTGGGCAGGCTTTTTGAAAGCAATCAACTCACTGGAAGCATCCCATCTACACTTGGACTTGTTCAGAGTCTGGAGGTGGTGTGAGTGCCTATGCTATATCCTCAAAAAAAATCATGAACAGAAGTCACTTTTAGCTTGCCCTTTTTGTTCTAATCTGCTGTTTTGGATGCAGGCGTCTTGACAGTAATTTTCTAAGTGGACCCGTGCCTCCGAAGATCAGCAGCCTAGAAAAAGTTCAAGAGATGTAAGCAGAGATGACAAACTTGCCAAATGCATTTTCATTTTTTCTAAGGCGTATTGTTTGTCAAAAATTGAACCTTATTCATAGAGGTTTCACAATTATGGTTGTCAGGTACTTGTCCAACAATAAGCTTTCAGGATCCCTGCCGAACCTTGCTGGAATGAGCGTTCTCAGCACCATGTAATCAGTAAAGCATTTATGTTTAATAGCAACTACTAATATGATTTCCTTGTCATTCTATGTCAGTGTCACTTTGTGAGAATGTCTGATTTTGTTGAGTCCATTTGCAGGGATATCAGCAATAATAGCTTTGATGCATGGGATTTTCCACCATGGCTTTCAACTATGAAGTCCCTAACGACGTTGTATGTCTTTCTTTTTAAACTTCTTTGACCCCTAAGTACTCCCTCTTTCTCTGTGTTTTCAACCCTCGAATGCAGTTATCCATTAGCTTTATCCTGCATTGCAGAAAGATGGAGAGCACACAACTTCAAGGACAGATCTCTCCTTCTTTCTTTAGCCTTCCCAATTTACAGACTGTGTGAGTACACCAGGCTCTTTTTACTAGCGATAGTTCCAATAAAATAGATGACGAGAACTCACGCTGAACATTCTGCGATGTGATCATAGGTCTCTAAAACATAATGAACTAAATGGAACCTTGGACATAGGCACCACCGATGGCAGCCAGCTGCGGCTCATTGACTTGCAGGATAATAAAATTAACAAGCTTGACCAAAGTGGCAGAGTCTCCCAAGTCAAGATAATGTAAGCCATATCTGGATTCTCTTTTTTGCTATCTTCCCATACGTATAATTGGTGATTCAATTACTTTTGAAAAGTTTAATTAACTTCATGTAAAATATTGAATAAATTATAAGAACGTACATCGAGTTATGTCAAAATAACTCAAACTTCCTTTTTATTTTTTAAGATTAATACAAACCTCTATTGAATTTTACTGAAATTCTACTAACCTCCCTTCTTTTTTTAAAGCCTACATACATCTCTTTTGAAATAAAGTATATTGGAGTCAATTACACAAACCATCATCAAGCTTTGTTGAATTTACACAAATCAAAACTTCATTTTCAAAATACATTCAAACCTCTCCTCAGAATAGATGAGAAATTTGTGTAATTTACTCTTTATTTTCATAAAAGATCTGCGTAGGTTTTAAAAGTAGAAGTGAGGTCTATATCATGTTAACAGAAATCAAGAGGGATATGTGTGATATACGTTTTGATTGTGGGAGAGATCCGTCCGAGTATTGGAAATAGAGAGAACATTTTTGTAATTTCTGCAAAACCTAAGAACAGCCCATATAATCAAATATCTATATCACCAACCATCAATCAATTCAATATATCTATAAAAGTTGTAGAAAGATGTGCTATTCACAAGGCGTGAAGCCATAAACAATGCAACTCATCTATGACCTTATGCCAACGTTTGAGACCTAATTTAGTTAACTTTAAACATTTAACACTTCCATCAAGTTTTTTCTCCGACTCCTGGCCAAATTATTTAACTGCATTTTTTTAACTACAGGCTCAAAGGTAACCTGGTTTGCGAAGAAACTGGAATGGCGTCAGAGAATTACTGTTCGGATTCCCAACCCAGTGATAACCAGTATAGAACACCCTTTAATAACTGTGAGCCTGGTGCCTGTAGTGCAGAACAGCTTCCCAGCCCCAACTGCCAATGCTCTTATCCATATACGGGAACTTTAAATTTCAGAGCACCTTCCTTCTCAGACTTGGAAAACAGCACTCACTATGCAACCCTTCACGATTCTCTTATGCAGTCTTTTGAATTTCATGATCTTCCCGTGGATTCAGTTTCTCTGAGCCATCCAGTCAAGGATTCAAATCAGTATCTTGTATTGAGCTTACAAGTCTTCCCGTCAAATCAAGATCGTTTCAATCGGACTGGGACTTCTGGCATTGGCTTTCTGCTCAGTAATCAGACATTTAAGCCCCCCAAAGAGTTTGGACCATTTTACTTTAACGCAGACAGATATGGGCACTTTGGTAAATGTCTTTCAGGCAGCAGTGATAATATAAATTATTGTGGTTGATCCATTTTAAAATAACTTTTGCTACCTCTCCTTCCCCCCCCCCCCATAATTTAGGATCTGCGAAGCATAGTAAATCAGCAAACATTGGCATCATAATAGGTGCAACAGTGGGTGGTTCAATCCTTCTGGTGTTATTAATCCTCGCTGGTGTTTATGCCTGCTTCCAGAAGAAGAGAGCAGAAAGAGCAATTGAACACAACAATCCTTTCAGTATGATAATATTATACTTGGCTCCTGTAGTTCTAGTCAGTAGTTACTTCAAATTGAGTTAACTAATATGTTTGATTTCATGAAATGCAGGGCGCTGGGATAGTGAGACTAGTAGTGGTGTCCCTCAGTTGAAAGGCGCAAGGCAGTTCTCATTCGTAGAGATTAAAAAGTGCACTACAAATTTTTCTCAAGCTAACGAGATTGGAACTGGTGGCTATGGGAAGGTTTTGATTTTTTTTTTTTTTTGGGTTATTTTAAACGTGTTCTTGTGAGTGAGACATTTAGCCAAACATTGGATTGAGATGATTGTCTTCTCATCTTTTCTGTTTTTCTCAATAACTCAATTTCTTTCTTTTTCATTGTTTTCCAAACCTGTCAACAGGTTTACAAGGGAACTCTTCCAAATGGACAAATAATAGCCATAAAACGAGCCTTAAAAGAATCTATGCAAGGAGCATTTGAATTTAAAGCAGAAATTGAACTTCTATCAAGAGTCCACCATAAAAATCTTGTTAGTCTTTTAGGATTCTGCTTTGAGAAAGGAGAGCAAATGCTTGTCTATGAGTATGTCCCTCGTGGGAGTCTGAAGGATACTCTCTCAGGTACTTCTATTAGTTTTGTTTCCTACTAAAGAGATGAAGTTAGGCTTCTTTTAACAGCTGAATTGAATTATTTGCTTTAAGGAAATGATATCCTTTTACCCAGCAAAAAAATAACAGCAAAGAACAGCGTAATTGCCTATCACTGTAGAATTTTGGAGCCTTTTGTTGCACTTCCATCCTCAAATTTCTTGGCATCGTGGGCACACTGGCATTACGATGCAATATATGAGATATAATAGCATTGAATATATCAGAAGATCTACAAAATTCTAGGGTGAAGTTGATGGAATCCAAATGTCTTCTTACATATTTACATCCTTGTGGCATCTTTAATACCAGGAGAAGACTTTTTACTCAGACGATTCAGATGCATAAATAATTTCTTGTTTCTGATAATATAACTACGATCGTGCAGGGAAATCAGGATTTAAATTGGATTGGATCAGAAGGCTAAAAATTGCCCTTGGTGCTGCCAGGGGTTTGGCTTATCTTCATGAACATGCCAACCCTCCTATCATACACAGGGACATCAAATCAAACAATATTTTACTGGATGAGCGCTTGAATGCTAAGGTTGCTGATTTTGGTCTCTCCAAGTCTATGGTTGATACTGAAAAAGATCATATTACCACTCAAGTTAAAGGAACAATGGTTGGTATAGTATCTTCTAAATCCTTATTGTTGACCAAGGAAAGCTACATAATTACTTATGAGAAGATGACATCTGATTTAACTAGGGGATGGAAATGGTAGAGTGTGTTTTACTTTGTCCCTGTTGGATAGATTTTTTTAAGTGTTAATCCAATCATTACTCACAAAAACTTCATACTCCTTTCGAGATTGAATGAAATTATGTAAGAATGTTATCCAATTATGATTTAATCATCTGCTTCTCATGTTCCGTGAATAGCCAGGACATTGAGGAATATCCATAAAGGCATTAAATGCTATCCAATTATGATTTAACTGCATCAGCAAATAGAATAGGAATACCTCTGTAGCAGTAGTTATGGTGAAATATTTCTACCATTTAAATGATTAGACCATAGCAACCAAAAGCATGATATTGAATTCTGTCTGGAAGGAAAAGAATTTGAAGAATTCCAAATTATTATCACTTACTATCTCCCGTCCTTAGTATGAGAGTTAGATAACTAATTTGAAGAAATTAGGAAAATTAGTTAAGTTGATTAATTATCATAAATGTGTTTTGACTTTTTCAAACTGCCATATTTAATCATGTATTCATGCACATTGGAACTAGTCCTTTGTAGAAACCTCTTACAATCAATAGGGATATTCTAGGTAGACAGTTGATTGCAGCCTTATATTTAAGAAAAGTTTCCAAATACAATAGGCATGCACTTGTTTTATGCAAGATGTTTTACGTGATGGAAGGAAATGAATATGAAATCCTTCTTAGTTGTCTCCAGTACCATCACCTTATGACCAGGATATTTACAACAACTCTGATAAAGACATTAAAATATTGCGTCATTCTTAACTGTCATTTTTCTTATTACACAATTTCTTTTGGTAGAGCAATCGTTAATAACATTGTGAAGGTAATGATAATCTTACCACAATTATTTTTTTTAATTAGTGTGGATCAAATTAATGCTATTTGTTATGTAAAGATTGTCAAACTTAGCAAAGAAAGTTCTCTCATAAACTGAAGGAAAATTACATTTATACGCAAACAAATAAAGGAGAGCCAAGCGTTGAGTTTTGTCCAACCTATAAAGATTTAGTAATGTCTGCAGTAACATCTATTGTGGAAAAATTCATTTGCATCACATACATATATGTGCAACCTTATTGATGAGAAAGGATTTTTGTTCTTGTTGCAGGGCTATTTGGATCCAGAGTATTATATGTCTCAGCAATTAACTGAGAAGAGTGATGTTTACGGTTTCGGAGTGCTATTGCTAGAGCTGATAACGGCGAGAAAACCTATAGAAAGAGGGAAATATATAGTAAAAGAGATCAAGAATGCGCTTGATAAGAAGAGAGATTTATGTGGTCTTTATGAACTCCTTGACCCCACCATGGATTTAGGGTCAACACTGATTGGTTTTGAGAAGTATGTAAATCTTGCAATGATGTGTGTGGAGGAATCAGGTGCTGACAGGCCTGCAATGAGTAATGTGGTGAAAGAGATTGAAAACTTGTTGCTGTTGGCTGGTGCAAACCCCAATGCTGAATCAGCATCCACGTCAGCTAGTTATGAGGATTTTAGCAAAGGATCTGGCCATCCTTACAGCAATGAGTCCCTTGATGCAGGGGCAGTGCCTCCAAATCCAAAGATTGAGTCTATGTGAGTCTTATTTTCATGTTTGAGGACTGCTTTGTTTGTGGCCAAAGAAGAAGAAAAGGAACAATAGAAAAGGGAAAGATTGATTGTGCGTATATAAGTTCTAGTTTGAGATTGAGTTTGGTTTGAACTTAGCTTGACAGATTGAAGATGGAACTCCAATTGAAAGGGAAAGCTTTCGCTGTATTTTTTTCCTTTTAAAAGCTGTGTTTTTATGAAGATGGTTTTAATGCTTGAATATGGTTTGTTGGATGAACACTTGAAAGTTAATGGAACGACAATGGTTGATATATAACACAGGTTTTGGCCTTAGGCTTAAATCACCAGAGGACTGTAACACCCTTCCTTAAAACCTGTTAAAACATTTCTCAAAGCATTTGACTCTGCCATAGTTGAAAGGATTGAATCAAAATCAAAGTTTAACATTCAAAGGTCTACCATAATTAAGCGAATCTGTGTAACAAAATGGATCCACTGGCAGAAAGAGGCAACCTTATCTTTCCTACCATGATGGGAAAAGTCCTAAATCCATAATAAGCAACTCAATGATGTACGATATACACAATAAATAGGTTCAATGTACTTTGAGGTCTAAGTTACAAAAAGATGGTACTAGTCTTCCTGCACATACATTTGACAAATATCATTCCTTCGAATAAATAAAATTCAAAATACGAAGACAGTAACTAAGAAGAGTAGTATTATGGTAGTATTAACTACTGAAGATTACCTCAAATAGTTGAAATGGGATAGGTATGAATGTGAGTGGAGTTCTGGTTGAAATACTTATAATATAAACTTGTATACGAGATTATAGTAATCATATTATAGTATTTGCCAGCGGTAATCGTATTGTAGTCAACAATACCCAAAATAACCAATTTTATTTCAATTGGGCTTTATTTCTGCCTTTATTACAAAACCAACTGGGCGTAAAAATTGGGCTTGTAGCCCATTAAAAATGGGCCAACAACCGTGGGCTACATGGATGGTCTATAAAGTGAATAAACAGCATGTTATTTCTTAGGACCCCTCCTTTCACGCTTGACCTTCATATTGCTGAACATGATTCTCAGCTAAATAATCCCCAAAATAATTTATAATACTTCCAATATATTATATTAATTATGTGCCCAGTTTCATTTGTATTTTCATCAAGCATGCTTAAGTACAACTAGAATTCTATTCTAAAAGTAATTTTTTTTGGGTGAACAATTCTAAAAGTGATTTTGTATATAAGCGTCAAACACACTTGAATTGAAAAAACAAATGTTATATCTCTCAATAGGATTTGATTGTTCAAATGTTTATGTAATATTCAGCTGCAAAGTTCATTGATCAGATTAAATTAAAAGCTGGATTAGTATATATGGTGATGACCAAGAAGTTTATTATCATATATATATATGGTTAATATAATTTTTGGTCCTTGAAATTTGAGCCCATTTTTTTATTTTGGTATCTCAAATTTCAAACCCATGGTTTTGGTCCCTGAAATTTCATTTGTCTTAAAATGTTAATTCCTAATGATGTAATGGTATTAAAATCTTTTGAACTGTCATCAATGATGTTACAAATGGTGATGTTGACTCACTAAATGACACCTAACTAAATTTATATAAATAACAGAGTACAGTGTAGTGAATAGCTCCTAAAAACAAATAGTAAGAAAAAAACAGAAGGCCAAAGAGCTATGTTTTTAGGACTTGTTCATTGGTTTTCCTCCTTGTGTTATCCACACAAGATCCAGCTAGATGCTATTTGGTGAGTTTACATCACCACTTTAATGTTGTTTATGACATATCACCACTTTAATGTTGTTTATAACATTTTAACAGATTCTAACACAATTATACCTACTAATGTTTTAAAACGAACCAAATTTTAAAGACTAAAACTATAAGTTTGAAATTTGAAAGATTAAAATTAAAATAAGCTCAAATTTTAGGGAACAGAAATTATATTAACCCATACATATATATGTTATAATTTTTATCATCGTTGTTCAATATTTCTTGATTCAATATGAGTCCAAGGTGAACATACGATCTCAAATTAAGACCTGTACATATATTAAGAAAGATCCAATTTATACCAGTGGCGTGAATTCGAATCTTATACTGATATGAGAATTTTGTTTGCAAACATATATATATATATATATATATAGTCTACTCACATTTCACATCCTATAATTCTAGCCAAATAAGCTCTATGATTGAACTGGTGTAAGCTTTTTTCTTATACTACATTTGATCCTTAATATAAGAGTTAGTTTAAGATTTAATTTGGTTCTAAAAATAAGACCACAATATACTTTGTTTCTCATATTTATCTATTTTTTCTTAAAGTAGTCATTATAACAACTACAGATGTTAATATTCCATCAAATAGTAGTTATAGCTAATACACATTATTAGTACGGATATTTTAGGAGCGAAAATGTTTATTTATTATAAATAATTAACTTAACTAATTTTTTAAATTTTTTTTAAAATTAATTATCTAGCTTTTATATCAAGTACCGAAGGTAGTATATCTATCAAGAGAGAGTTTTTCTTTTGTTTTTTTTTTTAGGTGATGTATTTCTATATAATCGGGGAATGAAACTTGGCAAGGAAGCGTATGCGTGGTAACATTGTGGGAAAAATAAAAAATGTTGAGCCTAAAAATAAATGTTAAAAATTAGCATTAAAATATTTATACGAATAAATTAAGATGGGTATGGTGGAAAGTAATGAGGGTTGGGAGAAAGAAAATGAGACAAAGAAGGCATATCAATAAATAGCACCGCTATATATAGATACAAAAGAAGAGTACAAACATTTGCAATAAAAATGGTCGTCTGACTCTCTTTCCACCGCTACATATTATTCCCAACATCACCATTTACTCCATCTTCCCCACACACACCCCACACTAATTCTTTTTTATTTTATTTTATTTTATTTTTGACTTTCAAACTCATCATCATGCAATTGGCTGAGTTTCCATCATCGCCAAAAAAAAAAATGATACTCTTTGATTAATTATATACTAAATTAGCCAACGTAATGGATAATGAATCGCACCACTTCTATATGTAGTTTAGTATGAAAAAATGTATAGACTCTAGCTATACTATCATGCATGCAATTATAGAAAACATTTTCTTTTTAGATACATTTCCAATTTTATTCTTAGAAAACATTATTTGGCGTCCCAAACATTGCATGAGCATTTCTGAGTTTGATTTGGATATATATATATATATATATATATATATATATAGTAGGCAGTCATGCAGCAAAGAAAAGAAGAATATGGTTGTGTGAGCAATAGTGTTATGAGAGAAATAGACTGGGAACCAATAATTTCATGTCCAGTTTAGAGCAATGGGAGAACTCAGAGAGAAAATATGAACTCAAACCCTATCAATACACACATTACTTATGAGCCATATAGGTCAACTTGAAAAGATATTTTGTCTTATTTTAAGCTTTAGTTTATATATATATATATATATATATATATATGAGAAGCTTATGTGCCTAGTAGTAATATGATGGCATATACTAGTATATAGAAGAAACAAACAAAGAAGGGAGCAATAAGTCAAAGAAGAAAGATGATATATGATGGTCAAGCTGGTTAAGGGAATCACGAGATGCCTGCCCCTCTCTTCTTAATCGTGGTCCTCTTTATTACCAACCCACCACACACTCTCTGTCCAACCAAACAAACCCTACCTCCCTCTAACATATACATATACATATATATATAGAGAGAGAGAGACATGGATATGTTTGTGTGTCTGTGTAATTGTCTGTTATTGTGAAAAATTAATTTAGTCATTCATAGTCGACAAGAATCAACGAGATGAAAAAGCTACAAGTTTCGTAGGGTCAAAGTCCTCCTTCAATCATAAGGATTACCTGTGGGCTCTGGCAAACCATGCACAAAAGTACGTTAAATGAATAACAATAGTCATAGACAAAACACATAATAATAGTAATTAGCTTAATTATAAATTAAAGTGAAAGAATCGTGGAGATAAAGAGAAGGAAAAAAAAAAAAAGCAACATTGAGGGGTTAGTAGTTGGGAAGTCATGTTTAAACAGAAAGAGATGAGTGAATAAATGCAGAGTCAGATAGTCAACATGTGGTCAAACCCTTGACTGGTCTCTTCCTTTTCATTTATGATTTCTATCCAACGCTTTGCTTGTTGTGGGCCCCACTAATGCCTCCTCTCCTCTCAACTACACACAATCATCTTCACTCATAGCACTCTCACTTCACTCTAAGCTTTGCTTTCGGAAGGCAATTCCAACTACCTTAACGAAATTAAGAAAATGCGATTAGATTATTAACTTTATTTCCTGAAAGAAGGGACAATCTTGGAAAAAAGATGTTATCACCACCTCACTTGGTGACTTGTAATAAGGATAGTTCTAAAAAGCGCATAATAATAAGGATCTGGAGAGGGGAGTAGTACTCTATTATAACTATGAGATCAAATCAAAGTCTTGCACCAAATCTGTATTAATTAATTTCCTGTATGCTTAATTTGATCAGTGTAGTTAATTAATGAATTAATTTTCATTTGAATCTTGGTAGCTATCACGAAAAAACTCCATCGATCATTTCCATTAATTATATACATTTACATGGTCACACATATGATCATATCTAAGTGAAATAACATATCAGTTTGAAATTTTAAGTCCAATGGAAGACGAGATGCAATAATTAAATAATGATACTGACCAGAATGAAAAATTTGAGATCTTGATCATAATTTTAGACTGAATTAAAATCAAATGCTGCGTTGAATTCAAGTCATATATATATAGACCATTATAGTCATTGTCAAACCCAGAACGTAACTGATGAGCTTCTTGAATTGCCCATAGTAATTGACAAAAACAGACAGATCGATACGTCCAAGTCATATGATCATAAGCAAGTTCATGTGTTCATGTTGGGGAAGGTGACAAGTTTCCTCACATTTTGTGTCCTAATAACACACTTTTAATGGGCACTACAAATATTACTGTCTGACAGGTCTCTCTGCATAATGTGTCTCCTTAGATTGCTTACAAAATTTCATGGTTCTGAATATGTTATGTCATCTATCAAAGTCAACGATACAATATGCATGGAGACAAGGATCCAACGATACCGGGGGGGGGGGTTTCACGGCGATTTTGTTAATTTACAGCTATATGTTTATGCTTATACTATTAATATGTACCAAAAAATTTCAAATATTATTCTTCAAGTCCAGGAATGAATGTAAAAAATCTGTGCAAAAAAATAATAAGGAATCTTTTTTATCGCC